CCTTGGCAGAAATGATTGGAATGGGAGCAAATATAAATGATAGTTTGAAATTATTTCCAGCACTGAATTTCAGAGAAGAATACTGACGTATTTGGATGGATCTATATAGTGTATCTTCTTAAAATGGCACTTTTAGTAATATGAAGGAATTTCTGTATTCAATCCCTCAGATGATGCCACAGAGCCATCTAGAAAGATTCATTAATCAAATACAGCACAGTGTTTCCATGTTCTTAAAACCTGGATGGACTTATTGCTGCATTCAGTTAAGATTCTCATTGATTTGGAGTAATTTATAGGCTATTCTAAAAGCAATTTGACTTTTGAAGCTATTAGCTGCTTTTACATGAACACTTCTGTCCAAAGCAGAGTTGATCATGCACAAACTCAATCTCTTCATAAGTTGTGCTCTTCTTTCTCCTGGGTGCCTTGTGTCTTGACAGCTGGCTTTCATAAATTACCCAAGCCATGATTGTGATTAGCTTAATGGAGGTTAAGAATGCAGAGCTCTAAAGGGTCTCCTACATAGTTTGAACCAAGAGACAAATAACCAATTTAAGCTCTGACTACATCATACATAGGTTAAACTACTGCAATTAAAGTACAGATCTCCAAGACATCTCTCATTCCCCAGAGGTATGAATTCCTCAATAGCATTTGGGCATATCCCTATAACTTAAAGCATGTGCTAAAAACTTGGAGAAGAATAAGTTCTGCCATTTCAAAGCAGAATAAAGTAGTGAAACTTGTTGGCCCCCCACACAATATTTATAGTCAAGTTGCATTATCTTCATTGTTACTGTATGCAGTTCAGGCTGTAGTTCTTCTACCTCACCACTTAGTCTTGATTAGTAGGCTACCAGAATTTGTAGAAAGTTATTTAGTCATTTTGGAATAAATGTGCACACAGAGTAGTTGGAGCTTTCAAGAAACCATCAGATACTGAATTATCATCAAGGCAAGTCTTGAATCATTTAAGTCTTCTCAGGGCTCAAAAGAAAGTTCTTTCGTTATGTCCTTCTCTTAAAATGTTTCTAAAAATCTTAAAATCTGCAAATCATTTCAATTCTAACCTTAAAGCTGATTTTTTTTTAAATCTCTTTTTGAAAGAAGGGGTCTTCAGGTGACATTATCCTCAAGTTGTTGAATATTTGTGTGATTTAAATCTGTCCAGGTGCCTAGATTTAAATACATATGTATGTCTCACATGTTAGGAATTGGAATAAGTCCACTGTGTAGATTAAATGTAAGGTGTTATACAGTAGCCAATAATAGTTGCAAATAAAACTTTAATTTATGAAAACATATTGGTTAACTCTTCACAAAGAGACAGAATATAATTGTTTTGTTTTCTTTGTTTCTGTTTTGCTCCAAGAGTGGATCATGCAGTCACAGGGACAGGTATGAATGACTCAAACTGCTATCCACAATGGTTATTTTGGTTAGGTCCTATTATATTTCACGCCTCCAAATTTATATCAGTCAAATGTAGTCACTACTAGGGGGAAAAATCCCTGAACACAATTGTTTGAGTTTCTTCAAATAATACTAAATTTAAAATGTCTAGAAAGGTGTATGACTATCAGTCACATTGAGAAGATAGGAAGCTTGAAATGATTTGATCTTTGTTAATGCAGTTCAAGGAAAGTTGTATTTTTTGAATTATACTGATTTGTGTTCTGCTTGTGAGAACCAGTGCCTTACTCAACTGTAAATACTGTAATTGTAAATCAAACAGAAACATAGAGAAAAGGCCTGGGTTGTAATAGTTCATGATGTTGTATTTCATTTTAACATTCCCCAAATAAACTGTTTTTAATACCTCATTAAAACAAAATTCAGTATCTTTTCAATCAGTTTAGCTTCTTTGCAACTTTTACCAATATTTGTCATTTTCCCATTTATAAGCAGTCTGAAAACTGCCCAGTTGTCTTAGTCTTCTTTTTGCCAGCATCAAGTGTAAATTACTGAATTATAGAAGCCATACTTTGGGGGAAGTATCACAAGATTAAATAATACTCCACAGTGCACCAAGGAGTTTTGCCTTCAATACAATAAGCCGAGAAATTATTGAATGATGGAGAAACATAAGAGTCTAAGATTATAGACTCTTCTACATCAGGATTATATCCATAGAATTCCTTGTTCCTAGTCAGATTGCTGGAGATTGCTAGCTGTTATCAGCTGTACTTAACATGAAAGTTGTTCACTCTGTTCCATAATTTATATTTCTCATGGTTAAAATACAATGGGGTTGCTGCTATGGGATGATAGAAAAAAATATAAAGTTTCCAGCTCTACCTGAAGGAGCAGTCTCAGAAAGTGGTGCTTTGCTCTACCCCATTATCATGAAGCAGGTCGATCTTCTGTTTCTTATGCTTTTAAACATCTATCTGAAACACTCCATCTGGAGCTAAAATTATGGATGATACTTATCTAGACATTTATAATGACTCCAATAGAAAGTATAGGAGTGTTGAACCAGTGTTTGGAAGCATTTGTAGAAGGAACAAACAAACTGGAATTCCTCCTACAAATGACTGGATTTTAAACCAGTCAAAGTAGGGAAACACCGCTGGAAGATTGCAACTTGCCTATGATACCTTTACTACATAGTTGCATAGGTTTCTAATTTGATTCCAAATTAGCACTCCTCCTAATTTGAGGAATTTGAGGAAGATACTTTTTCAGTGGTGGGTCGACTCTTGGGTTCCAGATAATAGCATTTTTAAGAGGTTTTAGAAAAACCTTGAAAAGCCATTTATTTACTGTTACCTTTATATTGTTTTTAACTGCTAGCTGGCTTTCATTGAGTTTCTAATGGTTTTAGTATCTTTGTACTGTTTGTTTTAGCTCTATTACTATGCTTTGTTTTTTTTTAAATAAGCAAATACTGCCATTTACGTACTAATGGTAATGGTAGTCATTCAAGCTCACAGCAGATCCCAAGAAGAAATTATCTGGACTGAAATCTTTTGTAAGCATCTCTATTCTTTCCCACCTCCTGTCTGTCTTTAAATTCAAAGGCATAAAATAATGTTTTAAAAATGGGCAAACATTATATTCTTTACCTGTTTGCAGATTAAGGTAGCTATATGTTTAGGTTTGTGTAGGTATATCTGGACTTACACTACAATTTAAAACAAGGGGACAGTGTTAAGCTGGCATTTGGGTAGGGAAAACATTCAATTTTTACAAATTGCATAGTGATTGTAAGTACACATTTTCTATGTGCATTTTAATTGATTTCTGCTTTCTACAATCTCTTCTGATTTTTATCCTCCACTTACTATTTTACTGCAGCTTGTAAAGAGAAAGAATTTTATTTCATCATTAGCCCTGCTGGAATGGAATCATTTGAAATGCTTTCACAAAATTAGTTGCCAATGGGATTTGTTATGGTTAGGCAGATATACTTATTTGTGAATTTACTTTGTATCAAAAAGTAAATATGTTCACAATGAGTAAAGTTTTCTTTTAATAGTTGAGAAAACAAGCTGAAGATGTGAAAACATTAACAAGTACAGTGTTGAGCTCTTAAAACATTTTGAAGAACTTGCATTTTATATTTCTGTAATGGTATGTGAGAAAAACCTTGAGAAATGAGGCGAAGAGATGCTGTCTAGGTAATGGTCAGATAAAAGAGGGCATAGCCCGCAGCTGTATAATGGATGGCGAAAGAGGCTCAGAAGGGATCCTACCTAATTATTCGGGCTGTAAAGGAGATGGGGAGAGAATTGTACTTTCAGACTTGCAAGGTTCTGTTAATGTAGGCTTACTATAAAGTAGAATTAGCTTATCTGGTTGTGTTTCCTGTCTGGTCTACCTTGGAAGGCTGCCATCAATCTTGTAATTTTGGAAACTTGAAAAATGATTCCTGATCAGTGTTAAATTGGCAAGAGCAGGAAGGCTTATTTTAATGGGTATGAAATATAGGCAACACAGAAACACAGAAGTCAGGATTTACTTAAAGTTACAGATTGCCATTCGGAGAAATGTTGACTCTGCTTTGCAGCCCAAAAGTTTTTTGACAAGTTCTAAACGTATGTTAAATTTCCTTATTCCTGATTCATTGGAGTCAGAACTCAAATTGCTTATTACTCTTATCCTGCATGGAGGAAGGAGGAGCTAGGGTTAATACCAAAAAAAATAAAATAGAAATGGCTGCTGATATTTAAACAAAAAACAAGATTTCTTTTTGTAGTTTGATTGATTGATTCATTATGTGCCATCAAGTCCTTGCCGACTCTTAGTGATAAGACATGGATATACATATTTTTTCCATGCTTTTTGGAGTACAGTGTGCCAAATACTTAGGTGAGAAACCAAGAGGCACACAAATTGGTTGAGATATTCAGAGATTTATTTACTCCATAGTAAGCCCCTACTGAGTTTAGTAGTTTATCTGGCCTTATTAAGCTTGTGTTGGATTGTAACCTGAAAAAGCTAGTTCCTTACCTCTCCCTTCTTTAGAAGCTTATTGCAGTCTTGCAAAAATTGTGTCACTCTGATGAACTGCCCCCAGAAGTAGGACTTTAATGCAGCTAAGCATCCCATTTCTTAGCATTCATTAAAAAAAGAAAAATAATATAGTTAGCCCTAGGTTGAAATGATCCTTGTAATTCCTTTCCCCAGTTTTCTCCATATTGAGAGATTTGTTTCATTTATTTTGAAAGATATGATTAATTAGAACTCCACTGTACACTTAAATAGTGAACTTCATTTCCCCACCTACCTTCCCTGTGTTTCTTTTTTTAAAATATAATTTTTGTTGAAGAGATTTTTAACAAGATAAAAACAATACAAATATTAGGAAAGAAATGAAGAAAATAAGAATAGTGAATAAGTAAGAAAAAAACTAGAAAAAAGAAAAGAAAAAAGATTATACCAAAGCGACTTCCCGTATTTTTCACAGTGGTTAT